AGATCATTATGTTGAAGCTTTTTCTTCTTAAGGTATTTTGATACAACTTTTGTCATGGGAAGATTGATAAGTCTTACTAAGACCTTTTAGATTAAGAATCTTTAGACACTTGTAAAGGTTAATGATGACTCACCTTATAAAAAGGGAGGGGATCTTCCACGATTCTCCTTGGGGAATTTTGTTAATTTATCCACTTATTGGTTAACCGGATAATATTTCGTTACCCGGTAATTAATCTATTATCCGCATAATTTAAAAATTATCACAAATTACTTAAAATTCTATTTATTTTAAAAATACTTCATGTATACTTTATATATATTACAATACCGTGTTCATATAATACCTTGCATGGTACTAGTTTATAATTATCGGATATTATCGCTCGACCCGTATTTTATTCCAAATTGGCCACTTTTAACGAAACTCCTTTTCTTTAATTCGTGTACCCCTTTATCCTTCATAGCACTTATTTATCGCTTGATATAAATGGCGTATTACTTATAATCCCAAAATAAATCTCATTCCTAAATTTGCGTCGATTAATCTTACGACGAAGCTTTATTGTATGACGACGCTTTAATGTACGAAAATGCGAAATATAATATCTCATTTTCAGACTTTCATCATTTTACTTATGTCATACTTTCACGCACGAAAACCTGGGGTGTAACAGATGGTCTCGATCTTGACAAAGAAGAAGTCGAGCCAAAATTGTCGACTACCATTGTCATCCATTTTAACTACCAAGAACTTGCCTCCACAACGTCGAAGGTTCAACATTGTGCCCCAGTAAAAGATGGGCGCAAATATATCCACTAAATGCCATATAGTGATCTCAACACCAGCCAGCTCGGCAAACTTCGACAACATCTTAATTACCTCGTATATATAGGGAGTGAGCTGAGTGGGGTAGACCCGATAAAAGCAGAGAAATTCCTCCACTAGTGAAGGAAGCGGGAACGAATAGCCAATGGTGAACGATAAGCACAGAGAGCGCAGTACCAGGGATGGTGAGCGTGCACTTCATGATTATTAGTAGGTACTAGCTCTACTTGATCGGGAAGTCCATACTTGGCCTTGAAATCCGCCAAGTGCATGGCCATCATAGAAGACCAAAAAACCTCAATCATCACCTCCAGCGACCATTGAAAATCTGGTTTTGCTTCGGGATTGCAGGGAATAATCTCCTCTACTGAAGGTAGAACCTCCTCCTCAGCGGTAGAGATGGCTTCTCCTCCATGAATAGGGAACACAACATCCAACGGAGTGGGTTGAGTCTCCTTATTAACACCAAAAGTTGAGTTCGACATGACAATGGAGTTTGAAGAAAGAAGTAGAAAGCTGAGAACATGGAGATAAAAGCTATAAGGTGATAAGCAAGGGGAGGAAATTTGATAAAAGAAAATGCAATTCTGAGCTACTAATAAAAACGGTAAAATTTGGATTTGGGTGATCATCCCCTTTTTATATAGGAAGAATCTCAAAACTAGAATGGGTCAACATAAATGCAACCGGAACCGAAATGGCAGAGCCAATGAAAAGGTCGCGTGTGTGCCGACGTGACATATCGGGATCAGGGGTCATCATGATGAATTACATCATGATGTCACATCCCTTCAAAGACATGCTTGTTTTAGAAGTTACCCGGGAACACCAAGAGTTTGAAACATATGGCCCTCGAATGATAATAACAAGGCCGGAAATCCAAACTAGAGTGAGAATTTGAGAGGTAAATGCAGAAGCAATAATAATAATAAGGAATTGAACAACTACAATTAAAGTTTAGAAAATAAAGGATATGAGAAAATTCAAGGAAGGAATTCCAAGGACCCAATGTCTATAGCCTTGACAAGATTCAAGCAACAACGTCTTGATTTATTGAAGAAATCAAACTCCTTTACTTAAAAACAAATCAAAACAATAGATTCGGATCTTGACCACTTTATGAGTAACTTGAGACAACAATCAATAACTAGTATTAATCACTTTCTAATAATACCACAAAAAGATTAATGATATCACAATAGAGAAGTAATCTTACTACCTTGAACTATGAATGTGTAAAGGTTGAAAGATAAATCTCAAAGTATAAGTGACAAAAGTTCAAAAAAAACTCTCAAAGTATGATATTCTTAATCAATAATGAAGTGCCTCAATGAATGAGAAGAACTCCTTATTTATAGGAGTAAAAGACCTTAAAATTAGGTAGGGTGGTTACTAAGGCATGAAAAGTCATTAAAATTAGGTAGGGTGGTTGCTAAGAATAAGAATATCCATTAAAATTAGGTAGGGTGGTTGCTAAGAATAAGAATATCCATTAAAATTAGGTAGGTTGGGAGGCCAAATCCCTTTGGACAGATTTGGACCTTAAAACTACTAGTTTGGTCCATTGGTTTGGACTCCAATTGGGCTCCTTTTCAAAGACCCCCTTTTGGAGCTCTTCTGGGTGCCCTTTTGCAGGATTTCAAGGGCCGAGTTTGGTACCCAATCTTTCTCTTCTTGGACTTCAATTTAGGCACTAAATAAATGTAAAACTTGTTTAATTCATCTCCTTTGAGATTGAGATCATCCTCTAAAATTAAAAGCTTATTTATTTGCAATTGAAGTCTAGCAACCTTAGTCTGTAACTCTTTAGCTTAAGATCTTGTAAATGGCCTTCTTGGAGCTTCCAAAACTCTATCCTTGTCCTTGATGCTATCATTCGCCTCTTCTTGAAAAGAATTTGTCCCTTAATTCGATCCTACATCAAACAAAGACAAGTCAACAACATTAATAGCCTATTTGGCCAAGCTTGAAAATTAGCTTATTTTGAGAATTGCTTTTTTTCAGAAGTACTTTTCTGAGAAGTACTTTTGCAGAGAAGCAGTTTGTGTTTGGCTAATCAATTTGAAAAGCACTTTTGAGCAATGATTTGTGTTTGGCCAAGCTTTTCAAAAAATTCTTTTAAGTGACAAATTACAAATAAGGACATGAATAGATTTGCTTAGGAGTGAATATTATATAAGTAGATAAATAATCTTAAAGATTTATTACCAAGATAACAATTAAGTTTTTAAATTTAATTTAAGTAAATATGGAAAAATAATAATTAAAAAGTACTTTATTCTTTCAAGATGATTTAAATATTTCAATAATTATTTAACAAATATAAAAGTATTCACCCCAACAAAAATCACAAACATAATAGAAAATTATCCTAAAAATAAGAAGAAACACTTATACATTAGGAGAGTTCTCAATAATATCATCTCTAATTCTATTACGTAATAACTCCATAACATTAGAAGACATTCCTTGCATTTCTGAGTGAATGTCTGATTGCCCATCTTCTTCTTCAAGCTCTGGCATATTATCTTCATTTGCATAATGGTCAAACTCAACATCGGTGTAAGAGTTTCTTCGTATAAAATTATGTATAGCCATAGTAGATGTAACAAGATGAACCTGAGTGTCAAACTTGAAAGATGGCATTGAACGTAAAATAGAAAATCTATTTTTCCAAACTCCAAATGTTCGTTCAATTGTATATCTCAAGCTAGAATGGAAAAAATTGAAAACCTCATTCGGATTTCTGAAACTTGAATTACGTCCAAAATCAGAGAGATGATAACGTTCGCCCTTATATGGTCCTAAGTAGCCCAACATTGTTAGATATCCTGAATCAACTAAATAATATTTACCTAATTCAAGTAAGAAAAATATCAGTAATGAATTGATATGAAAAATAATATCAATAGCATGGGAATTTACAAGACATAATTTTAGGGTTACTTACCTGCTGGAGGATGGGGAAAATTAAGATTTTGTCTTCTAAGTGCTTGATCAAATATTCTAGCATCATGTGTAGTACCTTCCCACCCTGGCCATACAAAAGTGAAGCACATGTCCCAATCACATACGACCATTACGTTTTGTGAAGTGAAACTTTTCCTACCGATATACTTTATCCTTAGAAGGAACAATACAAGGTACATGTGTGTCATCTATAGCTCCAATATAATTTTTAAAATATGGACAGTACCTATTATCTTCTCTTAATTTAGTGTGAACATCAGAAAGAGCTGGATCTTTTGGCTTAATGATGTCCGTAGCCAATTTCAAACATGCTAGTAAAACTTGATGAAAATATCTGCTAACTGTCTCCCCAGAGTGTTGGAATCATTCTTGAATCATTCGATTCCCTACCCCATGTCCTACCATCATTAGGAACATAGCAACCATCTCCTCTACGATTATGTTTCTTGTTGATTCTAAGCCATACTGTTCATTTAACGTTTTGCAGAATAGCAGAAAAATATATTTTTCCATTCTAAACATCTCATAACAACGCTTATCATGCCCTTCAAGCATCTCTTTAACAAAATGAAAACCTGTATGAAAAGAAGTCCTGCTTGGAGTCTTTAAACAAAATCTTAAGTAATACTCTGCTGCAAGAGTTACACCGCTAATTGCCAAATCAAAAACATCATCAATATCATCACAAATTATAAGAACTTCTTCATCAACATCGTCATTATTATATTTTTTCAATAACATCTGTAAGAAAAGATAAAAACAAACAATACTTATCTAATAAGAACTTCATTTCCAAACAAACACTACATAATTAATAACAACTTATATACATGAAATGCTTGGCAGGCATTCTTTTACATGAAATGATGTATGGTTACATACCATTCAGGGGAAAGACAAGGCAAAAGACATTCTCAAATATATTACACAAGGATTTAATATTCCCAAGAAGCATACAGGTATGATCTTTCAATCTAACGAATCAAATGCCTCAACGATAAGTAGAGACATTTCCTTTTGTGGGAGCGCCTTTTTTTCTTTCTGCCAATAACTAAAGCTGTCTATTTCTTTTTTCCTTTTCCAGGTTAGTCTCCAAGGAAAGCAGTTCATGTATATATTGTTACATAGAGATCCCAAAAACAGGTTAGGATAATCAAAATATGCACAAAAAATAATTACAAAAACTAAAACATCTTATATCTCTAGTCTTTGTGTAGTTCGGACATCTTTTCTAACCATAGCAATTGCAACTCTGGGTCTTCTTGTGCTGAGAATATTTCTCTCATTGATTGCTTAACTAGTAACATACTCGCTTTCCACCATAAATCACTACCAACAATCATACCAGGTAAATTACGAACAATATCCATAACACTCTTAATACTGAGTGGAGTGTCTTTTGACCCCACAATAATTGCAAAACGCAATTCCACAACTTCTGCAATTCTCTCAATTGATGACGTGATCCTTAAACTAGTACTGACTTTACTTTTTTCCTTTTCAGTTGTAATTGATGATGCCTTCTTTTTTTTAGTTTTATCACCACTCTCATTTGTCTCTCTTTTTTCAGTTACTTCTGGTTCTTCCAAGTTAATATGATCCAATCCTTCTCCTGTATTACTTCTTAAGTCATCCTCCATAATAAGCTCCTCATTACTTGTTGGAGTTTCAAACTCAAATTGTTTCTCAGGTTGAAACCAATTACTTCCATGTATGTTATCGGATAAAACTCCAGATGATGGCGCCCATGCATGTTCGCCAGTGGCAACAACATCTTTAAAACAAAATTCCATCAACTCTCGACATTGTAAACCTTTATCTCTGAATTTCTCTACATTTGAGTTCTCCTATATTCATGGAAGAATAATTTAAAATATATTAGTGTTCGAAACAAAATAATAATTCATTATGTTTAAGCGAAAATATATTTAAGAATTCTTAATACCTTTATCTTCCTACTCCACCATTCAACACTCGCTTGAACCGTCTTTTTCTCGCGGTCCAGTCTCCTTTCCAACTAAAGTATCCCAATCTTTCCAAATAAGTTTCAAACTATCCCATTTGTTCTTCAGTTTGGTCTTATCATAGTTTTTTCCAGTCTTGTCATTAAATTTTTGCACCAAGTTAGACCACCCTATTCTGCTAAAATGAGTGCCAGGACGATTTCCAGCAGTAATTTCTTCCACACATAAATTTAAAAAACAATTCTGTTGTTTTTGCATCCCATTTAGCCTTTTCGCTATTGTTATCTTGTGTCACTTTCTTGCTCATTATCTTGTCAGTATGCATTGAAAAACATGTAATGAATAAGTAAAACAAGGAATCAAGACAATGTTTTCTATTCTTCAAGCCAAAAGCAGCAGCAAACATTTAATAGTGCTATTTTATCATGACATTAGAGATTACTGTCATATGAAGAGTTTGTTTATCATGAAAGTTTGCCTACTGTTGAGTTTATAAGCACTTGCCATTGACTTAGCATTTACATCCAATTGCTATATTAAGTAGTAAGTATATTCATATAATTTTCCTTATAAAGTTTATAGAAGAGATTTATTACACATTAAAATTTTAAAAGAAGGAAAACACTAAAACAGAGGCTTCTATACAACTCGGTATCTTTTGAAAAAATAGAGTATGAAATCAATTTTTTTCCTGCTCTAGGTGGTTTATTTGGGACTATTAAATTTCAGAATTTTACAAGGTATCACACTATAAAGTCTTATGGAATAAACACAATTTAATTTGCCCCAAAATATTAGACACACCACTGTTGATCTCTTATTAGGAAGACCAACAATGCAATTTTTTTCAATGTTAAGAACTCCAATATTGACCACCCATAACATCTCTACTTTTGTAAAATAACAGACAAACCAGGTAAATGCATATGCACATCACATAGGCCAAACATAATATCTATCTGTGTCTCAACATCTCGAAGAGAAATTCAGACTCGACAAAAAATTAAACGACAAATTTGTTGCGGAAGCCAAATGTATATAGTGTGAATAAGTCACAACTACTATACTAAAAATTATGACAGCCACCAAATAATAACTAAGACAATAAAACAACAATAAAAGGAACACCAGAATTTACGAGGTTCGGCTAATTTTGCCTACTCCTCGGACACAACCAATATTTTATTTCACTCCAAAAATACAAGTGAAATAATACTAAAGAGAGAAGATACAAATGCCTTAAACAGATGAGAAGGCAAATGAGAGGTGTGTTTAAATCCTAAACATTAAGCCTTCTTTTATAGGGGGAAAATCCCCCCAACTATTCATTTCCCACCGATGTGGGACAAACATTTCTGCCAACTACTTTAACAAATCTCCACCTTGGGAAAATTCCACATCTTCAATTTTCTCTCAATAACAAATTTTGATTGTGTCTTCATCTTCAATTTTCAGTTTTCAACAATGTTGATCAAATCCAAACAATGTTGAAACTTGACCGCAGTCACCACCTTTGTCAGCATATCAGCAGGATTCTCTGTAGTATGAATTTTCTTCACCGTGACTCCACCTTCTTCTATGATTTCTCGTACGAAATGATACCGAACATCAATGTGCTTCGTCCTTGCATGATAAACTTGGTTCTTCGCTAATTGAATAGCACTTTGACTATCACAAAAAATTGTGATACCTTTTTGTTCAACACCAAGCTCCTTTAGCAATCCTTGAAGCCAAATTGCCTCTTTCACAGCATCTGTAATAGCCATGTACTCTGCCTCTGTTGTAGACAAAGCAACTGTTGACTGCAAAGTAGACTTCCAACTAACTGGTGCCTTTGCAAAAGTAAACACATAACCAGTAGTTGATCTTCGTTTGTCCAGATCACCCGCAAAATCTGAGTCACAATATCCAACTACAGACTGATTGTCTTCCTGCTCAAAAACTAACCCGACATCTACAGTATTATGAATATACCGTAGAATCCACTTCACAGCTTGCCAATGCTCCTTCCCTGGATTGTGCATATATCTGCTAATAACTCCAACAGCTTGTGAAATGTCAGGCCTTGTGCAAACCATTGCATACATCAAGCTACCAACAACATTTGCGTATGGTACCTTTGACATATACTCTCGTTCAGCTTCATCAATTGGCGACATAATAGTACTTAGCTTAAAATGGGATGCAAGTGGAGTACTAACTGGCTTAGACTTGTCATCTATGACAAAACGTTGAAGTACTCTCTTCAAATATTCCTTTTGAGATAAACAGAG